GGCGGGGCGCTGGCGGGGGGTCGGGGAGAGGACAGACGCTCCTCTTTGGGGAACGAGGTGGGTCTGGCGTCTGCTGCCCTGCCTCCCAATGCACCAGAGGGGCTCCCTGCGGACCCTGCCCGCAACCATGCGTAATTTCGGGCGTCCAGGCCCAGGGGCAAAGGGCCTTGGGGGAAAAACAGACACCTGCTTCCTCTCGGAGGAGCGAGTCTGGGCTGTGGGAGCGCCTGCTTCCCCTGGCTTATGTCCCCTGGCTACTCCCCTGAACACAGAAGGTTCTAGACCGGCTGCCCTTCACTGGCATATGTTAGCCTCTTTAGGGCTCTGGGGTCTGGGCGATGGCAGGGAGGATTCCCCAACGCGAAGCAGATTTGGGGGATGGTACAGGGGTGCCTTGCACCAAGAGGCCGTGGAGAAGCCCAGCTCTGGACAGAGAAAGGATCTGGCGACACGCCCTGCCTAGCTTCCCCGCACCCCTCCCGGATTCTTCCCACCCCCACCTCCTAGCTCACCGCCCTTCTTGGGGGAGGGGAGGTCACTGTGGCAGCCGGCCAGGGGCGGGGAGAGGGGGAGAGATACGCTTCCCTGCTGCTAGCAGCCTTCCCTGGGAAAGCATCTTTGAAACCCAGGTTGGTCCCAAGGTGGGAATACCAGATTGAAGAGCATGGACCCCTGTGACACCTGTAGGAAGGAGTGGTTCTCAGAACATCCCTCCAGAGGCCCCTCACCCTGGAGCTGCAGGCCCTGCCCAGCTCTACTCAGGGAGAAGGCAGTCCCTGGGGCCAGACTCCTTGCTCTAGCTCTACAGACCAGTCCAGTTCGCCGGGTTTGGTGCCTCTGTGTACAAAGAGCCAAGATGCAGGCTACCCTGGGAGAACCTGGTGGACTCAGAGAACAGTGTTACTGTGGTGTGTGTACATGTGGGTTGTGGAGGTCACATGGCAATCTCCTGTCTGCTCCTGCCCATTACCTGGGATGGACGGTAAGGGGAAAGGGTATCAGAAGGTGGTCAGGCCCTAGCATGGGGATGGGGCATTTCAGAACAAGGTCAACTCAGCCAGCCATCCCTGTGTCCTGGACTCTGAGTTTCTGATCTTCATTGACTTCAGTTCCGGATCTCACTTTTCCCCGGGCCTGAAGGGATTTCAGGGTCTTCACCCCCCAGTGCTAGGCTCACTGGGCCTGGAGCCCTGGGAGAGAACTCTGCAGGGATCAGGCAGCCTGGGCATTGAATTCCAAGAGCAGATTCTGAGGCCTTGCTGAGCCTCAGTTTCTATCTCTGTAAAATGGTTACTTGAGGGCAATCCTCATTCCTTCATGTTTACCTAGTGCTTCTCAAAGGGCCTGGACCCTCATAGGTTCTCAACGAACATTTGTTTATTCTAAGTCTGAACATGTTTTAGTCAAGGGCCAGGGCTTTGATGAGAAGAATGTTTTGGTGACTTTGAGTGAAAAACTCAGGGCTCCCTCAGAATCCCTGATGGGCTTAGGCCCCTCCTGAGTCCTGCAAATCCCCTTTGCTCCTGAAATCACAGAAATTAGGCCTCAGAGATGGAGCCCCTCACCTCCCTGGCATGTTTAGGTGGGATGTCTGAGCCCCAGGAAAGGGGAGGGCTTGCCCAGAATCCCATTGTGAGTTGTTAACACTTTCGGGGCTGGAACCCACGTCTTCTGTTCCTAGTCACTAACTTGTCATTGGGAAATAAGATGACCTTGAATTGGGGAAGACCAGAATTGGGGAGCCTTCCTAAGAGAGGGTGAGGGTTGCCACTATCTGGTGAGGCTTGGGGCTGGATTAGGTTACCTGGTGGGAATGCAGGGTCCTTGGAACATGGTCATTAGGGATGTAAGGCTCTGCTGTCAGTGAGATTGGCTATTGGCCACTCTGGCCCCTCCTAGCAGGGAGTCCTAGGCTCTGAAAAGCCTCCTCCTACTTGAGTGTGTCATCAGTGGGCCACCTTAGATTTTACAGAGCTTTCGGTGTCCCTGAGTTAGGCAGGGGACATGCGCATCTCTGAGCCTGGTGGGACCGGGGAATTGCCACTGCAGCCANCCTCCTAGCAGGGAGTCCTAGGCTCTGAAAAGCCTCCTCCTACTTGAGTGTGTCATCAGTGGGCCACCTTAGATTTTACAGAGCTTTCGGTGTCCCTGAGTTAGGCAGGGGACATGCGCATCTCTGAGCCTGGTGGGACCGGGGAACTGCCACTGCAGCCACTGCTTCCAGCTTGCCTGAACACAGTTTGCATGTGTCGGTCCTTTGTGCCAGCATCTTGTGCAGTCTCTGCAGTGGAGGGAGACCCTGAGCTCGGGCNTTGCCACTGCAGCCATTTGCTTCCAGCTTGCCTGAACACAGTTTGCATGTGTCGGTCCTTTGTGCCAGCATCTTGTGCAGTCTCTGCAGTGGAGGGAGACCCTGAGCTCGGGCCCTCACCTCCACCCTGGCTCTCCCTCCCTGTGTGACCTCGGAGGCTCCCTCACCTACACACAGGAGATGGGCTAGCTCAGCTCAGCAGAGTTTTCTAGAGCAACTGGGCTTGCCTGTTTGAGCTGAGTCCACTGGAAAGGCGCCAGGGGAGGGGGCTGGGGAGATGTGGCCTTCTCTTGTTTCCTGTGCCTGACAAGTGGGTGAGGACAGCTGGATTCCAAATAAGAGTGCCCAGCCTGGAGCCTGGTGATGAGGAGAAGCACCGGATCTTCAAAGATGCCAGGGGCCTGGTTTGAGTGGGAAGCCCTTGAGGAACACCTCTAGCCCGTGGGAGAGCCCCTGCTCCTGGCAGCAGGATGACTGCTGTCCCTCGGACTATGGAATACGGCTGGCTGTCAGTGTCAGCCTGGCAGTGGGCAAGATTGTGGGGAGGATGCTATGGACCCAGGATGAGGTGTTTCCTTGCAATAGGAAGGCTGTGCAGTCCTGCTGGAACTTAGGTGGCTCTCTGGGCCTGCTGGTCATGCCCTGTGCTGATGGCAGTGGTGGGGGACAGAGGAGGTGATGTACACCAGTCCTGACTGGGGTACTTGGCAGCAGCCAGTGAAGACAGGCACAGCAAGTGTCTAAGAAAGGAGAGCGGGCCTGCGGCACACACATCTTTCTCCCGAGTTCTGATGGCAGTCTGAGGGGTTAGGTTCATCTCCATGAGTAAAGTAAGAGGGAGGGATGTGGGTGTGTTGATTGCGCTCTGGACTTTTCTGAGCTTCCTTCCCTGAGACTCTTCCAGCTGAAGCAGGAAGATTGATGGACACAAGTTTGGGCCACTTTCCCAGGCTGAGGCCAACAGGCCAGCTTCTCCCTCTGACCAGCCACCTCCCTGTCCTGCCCTTGCTGATTGTGCTGCTACAGGTGGAGCACAATGTGATGGTGTCCCTGGAGTTGTGCAGCACTGTGACCCTATTTGCAGCTGCCACTTGGTCCCTTAGTCATTTGTTCACTCACCCCTCTCACCCTCCCCCGCCTCCTTCTCTCTCCCTTCCTCCTTCCATCATCCATTTATTTATTTAATCAGATCTTTGAGTGTCTCCCCGCCTCGTGGAACTTATGGTCCACTGGGGAGCACAGACATTTGTGGGTATAATTACCGCAAAGGCCTGTGAGAGCCGTGACAGCTGCTCTAGAAGCACATAAAGAGGAGATGCTTCTGTAGGCAGCCGGCTGGTGCTCCTTTGGGCCGGGTGCAGGGAGTAGGTCCTCTGAGGGTCCCACCCTCTCCAGGGAGCTTTGTTCTCCCTGTTCTGGAGAAGGTGTGTGGGGTGGAGGAGTCAGGGGACACGGGCAACTCTCAGGTGTCTGGCTTGTTAATGCTGAGAAGGGGCTTTTCCTCCACTTTTGTCCCAGTCCTCCAGGGTAAGGAGCAGTCATTGGCCCCCCTCACTGTCTGGAGGGCTCACCCTCCTCAGCCCATGGCCTGGCTTAGCCTGACCCCTGCCCTCCTACCACCCACACTACCCACAGCCACACAAGGAGCTGGCCTGAAGGTTGTGCCTGAAGCCCATATGAGAAGTTTTTTCTCCCTACCAATTCCCAGACTGGCTGGCTCCACTGTGCCAGCTCCCCTGGGCACTCACCGTGTTTGTTTTTTCCTGGGCATTTTAAAA